TCTCTCTCTCTCTCTCTCTCTCTCTCTCTATATATATATATATATATATATATATATATATATATACCTCTCTTTGATTTTCTATTCAACAAAACTTTTTCACCTTTATTCTTTTAATATTTGATATTAATATTTGGTTGATATTAATATTATGGTATAAATAAATTACAAGTTGCAAAATTTTTATCCTTCTTAAGAATATGTTTTATTCTTATCGCATCTATCTTATTGACAATTTCACACATGAAGATTATTTATATTTCCTATAGCTTCCTATATTCATGTGTGTGGCCTCAAAAACCCTAATTTTGATCAATGTATTTTGGAAAATATTGAAAACTTGAAGGGTAAAATTTGCGAAGGAATTCCAGAATTGGACATTGAATCGAACAATCCATTTTATCTTGATAAGTTAACAATTTTTAATATATCCATGATAACATTGTTTGTTGAAAATACACAAGTAACAGGACTGTGCGATTTCGTTGTAAATTTCCTTCATCTAGAAATGGACAAGATGCATTTTGATATTGATTTGTTATTTAAACGAATTCAAATAAATGCCACTTATGATTTGAATATACGTCTACTAGTACCTATAGCTAGCAGAGGAAAAGTTTATATTACTACAGGTATATTAAATAATCAAAATTATTGAAATGAGATAATATTTTAATGATATGCATTTTAACTTAACAGAATTCGAATTATAATTTGTTTACTAACATTATTAAATGTATTTTGTAGACAATGTAGGAGCAAATGTAAGCGTGGATATGGGATTAACTATCCGACACGGCAAAACATATTCATATGTATCACAGATAAAAATCAATCTCGACATTAAAGGATATGATATAGAATTTGCATTGAACGAAGAACAATTAAGTCAATTGCATGAAATTATTACAAACTTTATAGGGAAGAATCAGCAGGAAATTATTAAAACTTTTAAACCAGCTCTGGAAGAGGCAATTTCGAAACGGATTATCTCACTTTCCAATAATATGCTTAAACACTTTACTTATGAAGAACTTTATCCCGATCGGACATAAATCGTTCAAAATTTTGAAATTTATTGTTACATGATCGTTTCGTTTTTTATTTAGGAAGAATTAAAATAATTTAATTATAATATTTTAAAAGTTTTGGTAATATTCACAATTTTAAATAATAAAAATAGACATTGTTATTATTTACCATTGATCTACCATCGTAGATCTGTACTAAATGATTATTTAGACGTGGTAAAATATTTAATCAAATAATATTTTTCTGTTTTAATATTTTATTTGATAATTTACAAGTATTTTGACTATGGTATATGATACAATAAGTAAAATTATCAATAAATAAATATGTAATAGAAATATAATTTTATTTAATGCTCAGCACACACATCTCTCATGTATAAAAATATATTTTAGAGAATTGAAAAAAATGTTTAAAATTGTTCTTATTGTATCTTTAATATTTAAAAAATTATAATATATTTGATATTAAATACAATCACGCGCTTCATTATTTGTTTCAGAGTATCTGGTATAAGTTATAAATACTATCAGTTATAAATTATCTGTTATACAATGTTAAGAATGATCAGGAAATTAATCAATTATTTTTTCAACGACATGCAACATTAAAGGTACATCTTTGACATTAGACTTTGATACATTACTATTCTTGATCTAATATATACATATAATTACATATATACATATTATTTTTTAAGAAAGAAAAAAATATTAAAAGATTTTTTTCTTCTCTAGTAAATAATGAAAGAAAATCTAATGCAAAAATAAAAAAACATTTTTAACTTTAAATGTACAAAATTCTAGATCTTTTATGTAAAAGAGATAGATCTAAAGTAAATCGTAAAGACGACATTAAGCGTTTTATATTGCAAGAATACGTCATTGCATAAATAATTAACTACAAAGAGAAAAAAGATACTGGTTTTTGCTATCATCTAACCATCGTTAGATATCATTAACTTACTTTGAACATTTTAAGAATGTATAGACGTGTAATATCATATATTAAAAGAAATTTTATGCAAGTCATATTATTACTGTCTACATACGACATAATGTTGCATTATATAGAAATATTTTTATAATTTAAATCTTATTATTGTAATATTATTAGAAATATAAACTACAAATATAAATTATACACATGCGAGATAAAAGAAAAATTAAATTTTATTAATTTTTACTTGCTTCCTTCGCTTTTTTTTTCCTTGTTAATTAAAAGTATTTTTATTTTAAAACTTCTTTTATTTGTTATGGACAAAAATACTACTACTTTTATGAATGTATGTATGTATACAGGTACGAAAACGGCCATGATCTTTCGAATTATTATCATAAATAAAAAAAAAGAATAAAAAACGAGAGAAGAAAAGACTGGTTATACAATCAATCAACAAGTGAAAGAGGACATACATATATACGTATAAGCTTGATCAATCGCATAGTAGAATCTTGATGTGCGTTGAACATCGTAATACTTTTATCTTGTTGTAATATTATAATTCTATAAAGTATTACTTTGCAAGAAGAATTACTGTCTTTTAAAAAATGTATTCTGCTATTCTTATTTTATATTCTTATTTTTAGCCTTATTACAGTACATGTTACAGCGGAAATACGTGAGTAATAGAAAAAATATATATATTCTTTTGTCATCGCATGCGCACAATTTATTTCATATTCTACTTAAGAAAAAAAAGCTGTCATGATATTTGGATAAAAAATACTCGATCTGCAAATAAAAGAAAAGAATTTTAAAAGTGACTATTGTTTAGATTAATT